CTTGGGCCTCAAGCTGCTAAAGCTTCACATCAGCAACTAACCTGGAACCTAGTCAGCATTCAGGGTTTACAGTTCAATCTCTAAAGTTTCCTAGTGAGCTAGTGAAGCCTGAAGCTTAAGGCATGAACTCTAAACTCTGAACTCCGGGCACAGTGTTGCTAAAGTCACTTCTGTGACTTGTTCGCTTTCGAAAAAATGCCGGTAGCTTTGTTTCCACGTGGTTGTGTTTGCGCAAGTTTGCAGAGTGGTTTGACACTCTAACAACAAAACACTGGCTACACACACTTGGAATCTGATGTCCTTTTTGTTTCCTTCACAGCTCATGAGCGAAACATCTGGTCATTATGCATGTCCCATGGGTCAGGCCATGGAGCTCAGCCTTTAATTGGCAGAGTGAGTTGTCTGGCTAAAACAAGTCTATTCCTTTTTAGCATTGTAGAGACTTTACTTCAGATTATATTTGGACATTTGACTTTAAATTCAACTTTTCTTTTGACATTGGACTTATGTTCAACCTTTATTTTGACATTGGATTTGATTTTTGACTTTTATTTGGACCTTGTAATTGATTTTCAACTATTTTCTGTGGCTTGGACTAAATTTTCAACTTCTATTTGGACATTGGTTTTCTCTCCGACTTTTAAAACAAGCTTTTGGTGATCTAAAATCGAGGTTTGAGGTGTATCTGTCTTATAAGGGATCCAAACTCATAACACAAGAACCTGAAGTGCTCCCACAAAAAAAAGAATATTTAAAAAAAAATGAACTTGGCCCACTTTTGGGATAGCCTCCGGACAAAAAAAGTAATTACTAAAAGTTAGAAATAATGTGGACATGCTGTCCTTTGGAAAATTGTTTCTTTGAAATCATATACAGGTGTGCAAATGTGTTGAGCACTTTCCCACTTTGGGGGCACCCCTCAACCACTCCCAAGGTCCAGGCAATGTGAGTGCCGTGTGTCCAACTCAAGTCAAGTCTGACAAAAATATCATGGAAATCCCAACTCTTTCCCATGCATATCCCAGATTGGAATTTATAAGGATTTAGTCATGTTTCTTTACAGGTTTCCAACACAGTGAAGAAGTGCTCTATGAACAACCTCCAAGTGGGGTTCTAAGAATGTTGGTAAGTGTATGTAGGTGTCAACGCTAGCGTTGAGCACCCCACGAGGCTTCTTCGTTGGGCAAGGAATTCAGCAACGCTTCTTGTAGAGCAAGCTGCTGCCTTGGGTGGCATCATGGAATGCCAATATCTGAATGCCGATCACAAGAACAGTGCCACAGCCTCACACATTCAGGAGTATGTTCATGATTCTATATCGCGCGCATTGTCATAAGGAGCTCCAAAATGAATATACTGGGCCGCTGAGGCAGTGGAAATTTGAATTGTCCAAAGTGTTGATGTTCAGCTGAGTCACTTCTTGAGTTCCTCTTGACCTTCTTTGCCTTCTTTTTCGGCCTCCTTCAAGTAAGTTGGCAGTCTCATTGGAGAAACAAACAAACACTGGCTGGCTCCAGCAACACTTTCGTCCCACTGTCCTTGCCAGGCTTTTCGCCGCGCAGAAGCGAAGCCAAGGCTCCTTTGGGAGGTTCTTCTTTTGTCTCCTTGGGCTCTTCCTGCGCGTGCATCAATCATACCATGACAAATGACAGAGGGATGTGCCTCTAGTACCCTTTATGGACTCGTTTCATCTTGTGGGCGATTTTCCGTGCAAAAAGTCACCCTCGAGAACACCAAGGCTGATAACACTTCGAAGTGTTCTTCTGAGTCCTTCTTCTCCAAAGGTGGCAAGACCCAAACGGTTTCTTTGCTCTTGCGGCTCCAGTAGTAAGTGCGCCCATCTGGCGACTTCTCGCCGATCCACTTCACTTCCTCGCCCTCAGGCAGGCTCCAAGCCTGCCAGTCGTCAAAACTCCAGGACGAAAATATAGACCAAAAACATCCGAGGATAATTTTTTGATATATACCTGAGAACGGGGGGGGCGAAAGCCAGCAGCCGCCATACGAGTGTCTCTTTTTCTGGCGGGCGTCGCGGCACAAGACACATGGTCGGCAGCTTGCGAGTCAGCGGTGCCGCGGATGCGGAGAGAAAAGTATGTAATGGTGATGGAGGGAGAAGAGAAGCAAGCCGGGCAGCTGTGGGATAAGTTTGGTATGAAAGAAGTAGTGAAAGAGAAATGCGATACGTTGTATGTTGGTGTAGGCCATCATCACAAGGCAATGGCATTTTGTCACATGCAGGAAGGTATGCAGCGTATGGAAGTTGGAAGGTGACATCAGCGTTAGCGAAGGGGAAATACCGTCCGAATTCGGGTGGTGGGCTACCACGTGCGCAGGAAGACCTTCTCCATAGTCAGCGTCGCCGCATGCGAGTACGGCATGCGCTTGAAAAGAAACAGTTACGTATGTGCTTGTTAGATTTGGAGTGGTTGAAGTTTGCAATGCATACTGCGGCACGTCGAACAGCGGCATTCGTTGATTTGGAAGAGTGAACGGGCACGTCTTAGCCGACACGGACGTTTGATCCCGCGGCACAGAAGGGGAGGTCCAGCGCGAGTAGCTTGGGCTAGCAAAGGAGTGAGGATTTGTGTGCCTATCGATGCACATGCCTGGACTTGAGTGAGTCATGTTCTGGCTCGATCCAAAACAAAACCTTTTTCCTCTAAAGGGGCCTTTATAAAACGATCCAAACACCTTCTTTGTTCGTCTCTTTCTTATCAACTCTGCGCCTTTCTCACTCAGAGAAGCCTTGACTTTGGCACCTGCATGTGTAGATCTTTGGGCCGTGGACACAGGCTGACTGGATTCGGCCAGGGCTGCCAGCAAAAAGGCGACGTCATGAGTCAGTAGTAGAACTTGAGAGGAGGGAGACACGAAAGGTAGGACAGCGGGAAAAGAAGAGAACACATGAAGACGTGCTTCACAAAACAAACTCTAGGTATGTACCCCCTCGGGGAACACCTTTCGTAATTAGAATTTCATATGCACTCTTTCTGAAGGTTCAAGAGGGCTTCAACTATCCTGAAATCATGAGAGGCTCACGAAGACGTTCTCCAGGAGAGAATTGAATTTAGAGGGGGGGGAGGGTCTGTATTGAAAAATCAATTCCAGGGGGGGGGGGTTCTGTATTGATAAATCAATTCGAGGGAGGGGGTGGTTGAATTGAATGATCAATTATTAGACCCAGACGCGCCAACACTTGCTTCGCAAGATAAACTCAAGGTATCCTGTAAAGGGCTACCTTTCGTGATTTATCTATCTATCTATCTATCTCTATCTATCCATCTATCTGCACCGGCAAGCCGGAAAAATGTTCTGGACGCCGCGAGAAGCATCCACTGGACCGAGGACATGGTGCAAGTAAAGTTTTTGCTGGGGGGCAGGAGCCCTATGCGGATATGTAGCCAACCTCGCAGGCATCCCCACCGAAACTCAAGCCAAATTCATGGACTTGAGCTCATGTCACTTTCGGCCTCCCATTGTCCTCCAAAGCTCTTCATGATGCTAATGATGCACTACTAAGCGTCCGTTACATCACTCGCATCACCAGACCCCATTTTCACTGCTTTTCTGACCCTCGCTTTGGAGCGCTCTCCCCCACCAAGCTCTGGCACCCCCTTACCCTAAGCCTAGCCTATCCGCTGGCTTTCGTGCTATGAAATAATATATAGTTCAAAAAAAAGCTAAAACAATGTATTGGACAAAATTGTGGTGAGCATGGGCTTCACGCTGTTCCGGCGTACAGGTTTCAGGGCCAGGCCACTCTTGAGTTGTCATGCCGGTTCCAAAAATAGATGCGGCCATCATCCGTCTTCAGCTCAACCCAAACCTCTGTGAGAACCTGAGGACGGTCGATGTCTCAAAGTCACATCCTAAACCTCCAAACAAAACGCCAGACGAAACCAACCAGACCCGAGAAATTTGCGTCTGCTTTCCAAATCAGGGTTTGCACCCCCAAACCCGTTTTGGTTCTTGGCACCCTGAAAGAGGCTGAACCGGACACTAAGATTCAGAGGGATACCAAAGCGTTCGATCCATATATTTCACGGGTTCATCACGGTTTCGTCAGGTTTGGCCAAAGTTAGACACCGGGTTTCCCCAACACCCAGGGCTTCGATCGGTAAAGCATGGGTTGTCACGGGTAAATCACGAGTCATCGCGGGTTCGGTCTTCTAAAGAAACCTGACCCTGATTTTACATGCTTTCATTAATTATTTAGTTACATTGAGAATAGTTCGATCAAAACTCTTGGATATACTCAGGAAGAAACGTCTTTCTTGGGAAACCCAGGCTTTATAATGGCCCTGGGTTTGGAGCATGGAAGTAGTGAAACACTAGATTTGCTAGCAAACCCGACAAAAAGTAAGGGTGCAGTTGCTCAGGGTAGTTCCTATACCGTACCTATTTTGAGCGGTCTCCGTGTTGCCTTCGTTCTTTGGGGGGTGATTGTATGTGATCGTTTTGATTTGATACCTTTCCAGTGGCCTCGGCGGGATCTTGTGCGGGTTTTGGGACTGTAGCAGAATTGAAGCACAAACACACGGATGGGAAGCGCTAACCGTTTCGATTTGTACCGAGAAACCATGGACCGCAAAGAGATAAGGAATCAATTTCTCGCCATGGCGGGGCTTTCCGCCCTTGGGCATTGACTGCCCCACGGGCAGCCACCCCCTGTTCCAGAAGCGTGACTGGAATTCGAGTGGAAATTTGGCGGTTGTGATTTTGGTGCTCCTGAACTGCACAGCACTCATGCTCGCACGCACGCACACACACACAAACACACACTTGCACTCCACCATGCCTGCCTTGTGTCTAGTCTAGTCTAGCCACTGGGTAACTTTAAGTCCACCGTCATCAACAGGGAATCAGCAGAGACAGCCCACAGTTCGCCGCAAGGTTGGTGCAAATTCAACTCCGACAAATATCCCTGACATGTGCATTAGTTATCATTAGGCACATGCTAGCACGAAAAGCCAAAAAGCTTCCGTGCGTTTCATCACCTGTCTGCTCGGCAGTAACACATCGGTGCAGTGCCGTGTTCCCATCCTCAGGGATATCGACTTCCAGTGCAGCTTAGCTCGATTCAGTGCTACAAAACATGCAAGGCTGTGAAACCCTACAAAGTTGCTAGTCATTTGACGTACTGTATGTATTTTATACATGTCCTACACCCCAACCACCTACATACTGCTGTATGCCAGTAGAAAACTGGGAAGCGTTTCTGGTTTAGAGCTGGAACACTTCTCTAGCTCTTTGGCCTAAGCCAGCCTAGGCATTTGTTTCCCAGCAACCCACAAGTCTTCTGAGGCTGCGACAGTGTCCGCCAAGGATATGATCCTATGGTCATGGCAAGGGTGCACCGTTGCAGCCTTCTCCGCGACAGTCACAAATCACAATCCAACTCATCTACTCTTCCTGGGTCTTGGACGGCATGGGAGATGAAACGTTCACTATGTTCGACGACAAGCTATCTAAGTTTCTCCTCTGCAAATGCTCGCTCCCACCATTGAGGGCTTCAAAGCCTTAGAGCCGAATTCAACTGGGTAACTAGGTGCTATGAAAAGCAAATGTTCATTCCGAGCACTGAGAGGCTTACACTTTTCTGCACGCTGAAGCTCCTGCTTCTCTACAGCGTGAAGGAAGTCCTGGCACGGTGCAGCAGTATGGCACAGAAGTATAGGATAGTACAGTATAGGCATACATTGATACGGAGCACGTTCCAAGCATAGAATAGAATAGAACAGAAAGGCCTACCATACTTTGTCACCTGCTAACAGACTCACAAATCAGTCCTGAGACAAGCTCGACAAAAGCTCCTCATCACTGTCCGAAGGAGGTCCTACACAAGCCGAATTCGGCATCTCTGCGGTGTGTGTGTGTGTGTAAATACGACATATTACGGCGTAGTCTTCTCTTGCATTGGCAGTTGCATCAAGCGGTGGGCGCACCTGGGTCAACAGCATCAGCCGGGAAAAGTGCCCTCTGAAGCAAGGGCGGCCGCCGCGGTGGTTGGAAGTATGCTTTGGCGCTCAGCACCTTCACTCAGTCCACTGGGTCTTGATTCGTACAAAATAATCCTCAAATTGGACCAAGCCTCACCATAGACGCTGGCAGCCGGGGCAGGCAAAAAGCCTTCCCTCTGCCTAAGTCTAGTCTTGGATGAGACTGGCAATTGCAGGCCCAATCAACTCTGTTTTATAGACATGAATGAAGGCAACAGAAGAGCGTTCAAATCCATGCTTGAGCTTGAGCTTGCAATGTGTGTGTGTGGACTGTGGATGATATGAAAACATATGGCAACCAAACAGATGCGGCGGGCCATCGTTGGCTCAACTGAATCAGTGTCAAATGCTGTAGTGGTGCTGATCAGTCTCTCTTTTCAGCCGGGCTGCTCAAAGGCCGGGATCTTGATGTCGGTCCAAACCGGCATAGCGTCTTGCTACGCGAAATCAAGTCTTATTAGAGGTTGCCATGCTTGACTTGCTGCATCTCAAGGCTGTCATAGGCCATCGGCCATCTACCGCAACTATATAATGCGACAATGCGACTTCCAACGGTCGGTTCAAGCCAGGTGGCTTTTCATGTCCCTTGGGTTGCAACAGCTATGGCGCCTTTGATTGAGTCTGAATGGCCAATCTCTCAGCCCTGGCTCATGAGAGGGGTCGGGCTGGCATGGATCTGCGTGCGCTACCTCAGTCTTGGCGCCCCCAAGTCCATGGTCTTGAGCAGCGGCAAAACCAATCAACCAATGCTGGAAAATTTGTGGATGCTTTGGTTGGCTTGAATCTGGGTTGCCGAGTTGGATGTATGGCTCCTCTATATATGCATACAATTGAGTTGCTCCCATGCTTGCGCTCGCAACATGTCAAAACTGCAACACCTGACGAGCTCTAGGCAAGAGAAGTCTAGGCGTGTGGGTGACAGCCAATTGACAAGTCATCCTTGCAAGGTGGCAAAACAGGAATAGGTTCTTTTGCGGTTCTGGCGCTGTGACTGACAGGCACACCAGTTGGCATACCCCTGGCTTTCATCCAGCAAAAAAACGGTTGGTTGCGACTCAGTTGTGACAAGCCAGAATCAAAGTTTCAGGCCATGATAAAAGCCATGAAGAGTCCAAATAGTCTGCAGACATTTGCCTTCATTGCGAACTAAAAAAAGGGTGACAGTCTACAGAAAACTGTAGCTGCACAAGCACGCGGCATGATCTGGCACAGCTAAGGTTGTAAGAAAAAATGCGGCACGAGCCACTGGCCAATGTTCTGACCCTTCGCCCCATTCACAGGTCGTTGCTACCTGAGATGGTGGCCGCAATCAAGTTTTTCCCCATTGCAATCGGGATGCATGTTTAGGTAAGATCAAAAATTGAAATTTCTGAGTTAGATTGCTGCGAATCTTTGCCAATCAAGCCAGCAAATACGTTGGAACAAAGGACCTTCCAAACACGTTGCTAAGCTGCGCTGGCTCCTTGATCTTGACTTCATTCACAAAGTCAACCACCTTTTCATGAGCATGTTGGTCGCCGGCGACGCTAGCTACCATCTCCGTGCACTGCGCCGTTCGCGTTGCATGATACCCTTCGCTTTTCCGGGCCCCGTCGCTTGCCACGCTAAAACAGCTTACAGTAAGGGCACTGCGAGCATCTGGAACTGGAGAGCATGAAACAGAAACAGGTCCACAATCACTACATCATACATCTACATAGTACGTCCACCGCATTTCTTAGGGTTCACCATGGTTCACCACCACTGCCCTGCGGCCACCTCCGTTGCAATCTCGATGCCGAATTCGACGCCTGCCAGGCCACATGCGGGAATGAAACCGCCTCCATAAATCAAGAATGAGAAGAGAGGAAGCGGGGAAGTGCCCCCTTAATAAGACCCTTCAAAGGCGGCCTTATTGAGGCGGCACTTCCCTTTACGGTTGTCAATTTTGTCTCAGTCCTTCTTCATTCCTTCTTCATCTTCTTCTCCATGTGTTTAGCTCACTTTATAAAAATCCATCGAAATGGTCGACTTGTCCAGTCATTCTCCGCCACTACACTCGAGTCTCAGCAAGCTGCATCTGCCCAAAGCCACACCGCCCACGAAGTTCCCTGCGAGGTAAAGGCCTTCACAAACGAAAACTACCTGTGACCCTCCCTACTACACGAACAGCAACAACCACTTAGAACGTGTTTACCACCTATGCACAAAGGTGTGGGAAAGCTGCAAGACTGCGTGTAGCTAGTCCGGTCTAGCAGTATGGCCGGTTGGCCACTGTTTCCTGTGGCATTCCAGCAAAGCAGGCCTTCCACACCCTCTATGCCCAGGCTCTTCTTCACGGTATCTAAACGGTCTTGATGCCCAACCTGGGATGCATCCAACAAAAACAAGAACTGCACTGCTTGGATCGGAGGCTCGAGTGACCAAGGCTGAGCTGAGTTGCTTCCAACTGCGGGATCGCTCGATCCCAAACCCTGACACCAAGGGCTTTTGGAAGATTGGATGCCTGGAGGGCAGGGCTGGGCAGGATGATACAATGGTCTTTGCTACGTCCTTGCTACCAACAAACTCTGAAGTCAGGTGTCACATGTGTCACACAAATTTCAGTGCAATCGACAAAATCCAAGCCTCGCTGGGATGCAGCATAGTTTCCACCGTGTCCTTGTGAGTTGCCTCACGTTGACTTTGGACTGAGGGCCATTGTAAAGGATGTTAGAGAATGCGGGCAGGGGGTGGGTCAAATTTATTTATGAGCACTACAGAAGCTCGGAAGCTCACCACAAGCACTGCGAAGCAAACAGAAAGAAAGCCACCAAGCAGAAACAAACAAAAATCAACATGGAAATAAATTGAAGTTTTAAAAATCAACAAATCCATCAAGTTCCATCAATTGGTTCGACTGGGCGCCTCCACCAGCTGCCCTTCCGTCAGGCCCTGGATGCCGCCGAACAGCTCCGGGTCCCGAGCACCACCTGGACACCAAGGTGAAGGACGGAGCAAGTACCGAAGCCAAACCGTTTTCTTTTTGTTCCTAAAAGCGATGCACTTGTTACTAGTAGCTTCTTGTTTCTAATAGCTTCTTGTCATTACTAGTAAGGCACTTG